GATAATATTGCACAGGTTACTTATACTCCCAGTTTCCACTCCCACTTTTTTCCTCTGTTGCTTCAGTTTGGATAATTTGCATTGGCCCAGCTTCAGATATACCGATCTTTTCTTTTGCAATGTCCAATCTGTTGTTAAGTTCACTCAAATAATACTTTTTATTTAATGTATTGTAATTTTCATTCTAGAAATTTTATTTAGTTCTTTTTTTAAGAGTTTCTGGCCAGGTGCGGTGGCTCATGCCTGTAATCCCAGCACTTTGGGAGGCCAAAGAAGACAGATCACGAGGTCAGGAGATCGAGACCATTCTAGCCAACATGATGAAACCTGTCTCTACTAAAAATACAGAAACAAAAATTAGCTGGGCATGGTAGCACATGCTTGTAGTCCCAGCTACTTGGGAGGCTGAGGCAGGAGAATTGCTTGAACCCAGGAGGTGAAGATTGCAGTGAGCCGAGATCATGCCACTGCACTACAACCTGGGCAACAGTGCGAGACTCCATCTCAAAACAAAAAAAAGAGTTTACATTTTTTCTCCATATGCAATATAGAGATACATACGTATATATGTTTTTATATATATTTTATATACATACATGTATTGATCTATATATGATAAATGTGTATATGGCAGATATGTATATATTAAGACCTATATATGGCACATACCTTGTATGTGTATCTTTTCCTATAAGTTACTTAATATATTCACATTAGTTTTAAAATCCTCATCTGCTAGTTTCAACACTTGTGTCATATACAAGTCTACTTTTATCTATTATGTTTTCTCTGCACTAGGAGTCATATTTTTCTGCTTTTTGTTAGGTCACAAAATATTTATAGTGTTCTGAACATTATATACCATAAATCAATAGAGATTGAAGCATAGTATTTCTTTTGTGTTCTATTTCCCCAAAACGTGGTAGTTCTTTCTTATGGCAATTAAGGTGAGGGTCTGTTCATTCAGAACCTTCCTAGAGTTGAGCTCAACAAGTTGGACCATGATTAGCCCAACTTCCATCCCTCTGAACAACCACTGCTTTGATATTTCAATATTTGAACTGGAGAGGCATTGACTGAAGTGTTAGTTTTTCAGGGTTTTTTAGTTTTTTGTTTTTTTCTTAAATTTTAGTACTGGCATGGTCCTTATACATGTCACTTTGGTAAATTCACTCATTAGTTTTAGTAGTTTAAGGGTTTAGGAGATGAATTTCTCAGAATTTTCCATATAAACAGTTAAATCATTTGTGAATTAAAGTTTTTTCTTTCTAAACTTTGCTTATTTTATTTCTTTATTTTTGTCTGGTACTGGCTAAGATTGCTAGTAGAATATTGCTAGTGTTGAAGTAGGAAAAGCAGACATCTTTGACTTGTTACTGAAATAATTGAGTATTTCATCATTGAATATGATATAAGCTATAGATTTTTCAAGAGTGTTTTTATCAGACAGAAGAAAAATACTTCTTTTCTTAGTTTGCCAAGAGTTTGTATCATGAATGGATGATGAATATTGTCAGGTTTTTTCTTTTTTTGCAACCATGGAAATAATACTATGTTGAATTACATTGATTTCCACATGTGAAATCATCTTTACATTACTGAGGCTAAAGTTCACTTGGTCATGATTTTTTTTTTATTGCTGGATTTGATTTAAGAATATTTTGTTAAATATTTTTTCATCTTTGTTTACAAGAAATATATTTTCTTAAAATTGTCCCTTTCAAGTTTTGGGGTCAGGATAATTCTGGTCTCTTACCATGGAATGAAAAGTGTTTTCTTCTATTTTTTCTGAAAGAATTTGCACAAAAAAAATTATTTTTAAAATTTTTAAAATAATAGCAAAAAAAAAATGTTCTCTAGTATTTATTAATTGAACCATATGGCCCTGGAGGTTTTTTTTTAAAAAATAAATAATTATGAATTCAGTTTTTTAATTCAATGTAGGACTATTGGATTTTCTATTTTTCCCCCCATTTATTTATTTTATTGCATTTTAGGTTTTGGGGTACATGTGAAGAACATGCAAAATTGTTGCATAGGTACACACGTGGCAGTGTGATTTGCTGCCTTCCTCCCCATCACCTACATCTGACATTTCTCCCCTTGCTATCTCTCCCTAGATTTTCTATTTTTTATTGGATCAGGTTTTATAAGTGTGCCTTTCAAGAAATTCACTGATTTTGTGTGTCCTTGAATTAAGTGGCATAATATTGTTCATAATACTTCCTTATTACCCTTTTAAAATCATTAGTATCTCTAGTGATCATGTTTTGGATTTGTAAATTTTCTCTATTGTTCACAGATTTTCTGTTTCAATTATTTCTACTCTTCATTGTTTCCTTCTGCTTACCTTCTGTTTAGTTTGCTTTTCTTCCTCTACTTTCTTAAAGTGGAAAAGGATGGCAGACTTTAAATTTTTCTTTTTTTCTAATAGAACCATTTAAAGGTATAAAATTCTTTTTAATCACTACTTTATTTGCATACCAGAGTATGGTTTGATATCTTTTCATTATCATTTTGTTGTAAATATTTATTATATTTACTTGTTTTATTTTTCCTTTGGTTCACAAATTATTTAGAAGTGTGGTGTTTAATTTTCAAATGTTGGGGATTTTCTAACATCTTATTACCATTGCTTTCTAAATTAATTCATTGTGGTCATATACCATTCCCTCTAAAATTTCAACTTTAAAATCTATCATATTTACTTTATAGCCCAGCTATAGCCCAGGTCTATCCTTTTGGTAGATGTTCCACGTGCACTTGAAAATAGTGTGCGTTTGATAATTTTTGGGTATTAGTGTCCTGGAACTGTCAATTAGGTCGCATTCGTGATAATGCTTTCCAGATCTTACGTACATATTTTTTAAATTCATTTTTGTCTACTTTTCTTCTGTTGGTTGCTGTGAAAAGCATGTTATAAAAGCTGAAATTATGATCATAGACATATCTGTTCCTTCCTTTAATTCTGTCAGTTTTTGCTGTGTGTATTCTGTAAATCTGCTTGTAGGCACATATTATGTCTTTCTGAAGAATTTATTGTTTTTCATCATTTTCCAATTCCTTTCTTTATATTTGCTAATAGCCTTCATCTTGAGGCCTATTTTGTGTGATATAATATTAGCCTGAACATCTTTCTTATATTAATTATCTGCATGGTATATCATTTTCCATTCCTTAACCCTCCACCTATTTGAAACTTAACTGGATTAAGAGACGTTGATCTGTGGTGCAGTTGCAGCAAAGATCTTAGCTGGTCTTATGAGGAGTCCTAGACTGTGGTGACAGGGAATAGTCATGTCTTACAGTAAGAGGGAATAGTCATTTTGCCCCTCCACTGACACATCAGTAGATGAGGGCTGCCCTCAGAAAGGGTGTGCTCTCGGGCACAGTGACCTTCTTTAGTTAAGGGCAGATTTTGGAAATGAACTCGGTTGAAAGCTGCCTATTGGTGACACTCTCCACAGCTATAGGAATGAGTTCTTCAGGATGTCTGGGCAGTGTACTATAGTGGCACAATATGCTGATATTTAAAGTGCTTCTCTTGTAGATCCTGCATAGTTAGGTCTTGGTTATAGTTATTGTCAGGTTAGGTCTAACCTGAAAATACTTGGATTTTCACTGGAATGTTTAGTCCATTGATATTTAGTGTAATCATCAATGTGTTTTAGTTCGAGTGTGCTATCTTGCTTTGTATTTTCCATTTTTCACATATATTCTTTGTTTCCTTCCCTTTTTTTGGCTTTTTGGAGTTAATCACATTCTTTAAAATGTTATTTTAATCGTTCTATTGGCTTTTTGTTATACCTGATGGTATTTTTCTTAACATTTAATGCTAAGGATTACTCAATGTACCCTAAACTTACCTTTTACCCACGTTTAATATAACACCTCATGCCAGATCAAAGAACCTTAACTTTTTGCTATTGTTGTCACATATTACTTCTGTAAGTCCCTCTATACATTGCAAATTATTTTTGCGTTAATCGACTGTCTTTCATGAATTAAGATAAAAATGAAAGATAATCTTTTATATTTACTCGTATATTTGCAGTTATGTTACTCTTAATTCTTTCCTGTAGGCCTGAGTTTTCATTTGGTATGTTTTCTTTCAGCTGAAGGTCTTCCTTTAGTATTTGTTATAGTTCAGGTTGGTGAGAAATTCTCTCAACTTTTATCTATCTTTTCATGAAAGCATGAAACAAAGCTTCTTTGGGCTACTGCACAGTTCTTTTTTCTAGTTTCCTTTTTAAAGATGGTCAGCCCTTCAAGAATCCCAGTTTTGTTTTATCCCAACTGTAGCACAATCACTGGAGCAAACACAAGTCAAAGTCCCCTATTCCCGAATGAATATTAAAAGTGTTACAAAACCAGCTCTCAGGACTTGGGCTCATTTTTCAGCTTCCTGGGTCAACAAGGGAAGCTTCCTGGGTCAGCTTGAAGCTTCTGCTTGATTTTGAGTTCACACTTTATTTCTAGCTACTTGATTTCCTCATTATTGGTGGCAGGGGATGCCAGGTTTGGGGAATTAAACATTTTCAGCTCTCTAGTGTGTAGCTAAGGTGATCAATTTAGGAGGGTGGATGTTCATATCAGCTTAAATTGCCAAGATGAGAAAATTTGCATTTTTTTCTTACATTATTATATGAAACACTCATAGGATTATTTTTTATTTTTATATGTTAGTAATGACATTTTATTTTTTATGTTAGTAATATATGTTTTCCATATTATGTTATAATGTGTTATAATAACATGTTATTACAAACAGGTTATGAGGCCTAACTTACTACGGAAGCTTTCCTTATTTGTGTATACATTTGTTTGTATGTTTGTTTATTTTTAATGAACTGACATGTTCATCTGGTTGACTAAGTCTTAGATATTGGTTTTAATTCTTATTATTGTGAGATTACACGTGCTCCACAGAATAATTGTAATCTATTAAAAAATAATTCCCGCAATTTCAACTTCTGCTCTGCCGCTTACTGCTCTACCAGGTCTATGGAAATGCAGGACCTAGCAAGTCCTCACACTCTTGTTGGAGGTGGTGATACTCCGGGTAGCTCCAAACTGGAAAAATCTAATCTCAGCAGCACCTCAGTCACTGCAAATGGGACAGGAGGTAAGTACTACCCTGAGGATACCCAGAATCATATTTCAATGTTTAATTTTACTTCTTAGGGATCTACTAATAAATAAATATCTTATTACCAATAACACAAATCAGCATTATATCCAAGGTTTATATAATTAATATTTATTGTTTTGATGATTTTCTTGAAATTTTTGCTTCTCCTCTATAGCCGGGAACCTTCACAGAGGATAGATAGTGTTGAGCAACATTTCAAGGGCCTTTAGCAGGGTTTTTTTTTTTTTTTTTTTTTTTTTTTTTTTTTTTTTTTTTTTTTTTTTTTTTTTTTTTTTTTTTTTTTTTTTTTTTTTTTTTTTTGTATTTGCCATTGTAAGTATTTCACAAAATTTAGAAATTGAGGCCAAAGGATTTCCACCCTGATAGTAGCAAATATATATATGTGTATATGTGTATGTATACACACACATACACACACTTACCACTTTTTGGCTTTTTGGTTTTATTTTGAATTATAAAGAAAGGTTGCCTCAACATTTTCCTTACAAATGTTTTTTCTTAAAAGTACTTTAAAAAAAAAAAGACACGGTTTGGAAATACAAAAATACTCATATCTGCTGCATTTTCTTTTCAAAGAGAATAACACCTAACATTCATTTAAAAAGGAATTGCATTTTTTCAGATAATTTGTCATTCTGTTAGCCCATAAATATGCCACAGCATATGGCAAAAATAATAGCTATTATTTCAAATATTCTGCTTTATTATTTTTATAGAATGTGTTTAATTTTTCAGAAAATGTGATTCAATTTTTGTATCACAATATATATTTATAGAGATTATGTACACACTTATATGATATATAGACTGCATTTTAAATTATTCACAATTTGAAATTTTGTAGATCCCATCTAGCCAATAAATTTAGAATTAGATGACATTTAATTTGTAAACTATGTCATCAGATATTAGCATTTGCCACATCATATTTTCTTTTAAATTTTAAATAAATATCTATGAAATTGATACACCTCTTCCCATTTATTTTAGAATAACGATGCAATCTAAAATTTTATTCATAAGGTTGTGTGCATTGCAACTTACCTGTTTTTAATAATGTTTTACACCAATTCCCTTGTAGATTAACATTTTCCTTGTTTATGATGTTTATTTGTCTCTAAACATGCATCTATAATTTCAGCTAATTAATTAAGCAATTGCAAATGTATAGAATATTTAGTGATGAAAACTAGAGCAAAGTACATTTAAACCGTAAGTGGAGTACAGATAACAAAATTTAAAAACTCAAGCACTCTAGAAACAGACTGGTGAAATTCGCTAATCATCATATGCATATATTTGACTGAACTAAAACATACCTGAAATTAAAATATTAAAGTCATACAGGGCAGTTATAATTTTTACTAAAAGATCAGAAACGAGTGCAAGCATTGAAGATTATTCATATCCACTCAGCAGGCATTCAGACAATGAACTTTTATACTGTTCCTGTTCTCAGGGGACAACATGACTGTTTTAAACACAGCAGACTGGTTGCTGAGTTGCAACACCCCCTCTTCTGCAACAAGTATGAGAGATGCTGGTACACTGCATGTGTTTGGGTGTGTGGATTTGGCCCTCTGGTTTGCTGTCTGTTGCTATGTCTATGTTTGCATCTCTTTTCTGTGTTCACTAATTAAAAAGGAAAAACGAATATGCCTTTTGGTTGTTTATTGACAGCAGTTGGTTATGATTTTTTGTATCAATTGGTATTCTTAGACTCTTTTAGATCAGTGTATTCTTTTCTTAAACTTCATAATCTCATCCAAATGGTGCATATATTGTTTTTCTAACTGTTTATCAGTTTATTACATGATAAATTTTGCCCAAAAACTGCCATGTCAAACAGAGCAATTGAAGCAAAGTGGCCATGCATACAAACATAATCACCTTCGTAACCCATAGACTTTCATAATTTAAATTAAATTCTTAATAAAGCAAAAGGATATTTGCTACTCTACGGACTTTGAGAAATATCCCAAAGTATATAAAGTAACATTAAGAATCAATTTTCCTTTCTCATTTTAAAAATCATCAGTGATGAAAGCTATACATTTAAAACTAGAAATTAATATTGGCCTTTAAATTTTTTTGAATTATGGATATTAACTACATTTATAGTTAAACTGATAAAAACAGACTTTCTCCTAAATCAAATGCTAATATGCTAAAAAAAAATTAAACAATTAAAACACAGCCATCACATTTTTGTGAAATCACCCAATTGTAGAATCAAAAAGGAGTTCAGCCGGGCATGGTGGCTCACGCTTATAATCCCAGCACTTTGGGAGGCTGAGGCTGGTGGATCACGAGGTCAAGAGATCGAGACCATTCTGGTCAACCTGGTGAAACCCCGTCTCTACTAAAAATACAAAAATTAGCTGGGCATGGTGGCACGCGCCTGTAGTCCCAGCTAATCGGGAGGCTGAGGCAGGAGAATTGCTTGAACCCAGGAGGTGGAGGTTGCGGTGAGCCGACATCGTGCTATTGCACTCCAGCCTGGGTAACAAGAGTGAAACTCCAAAAAAAAAAAAAAAAAGGAGTTTATGCCTGTCAGAAATGTGCATCACAAGCAGTTAGAATAGGCACAGTTTGGCTGGACATTACTCTATATCTGATTAAATTAGAATATACGATCAGAGAAGAAGTACTTCAATATGCTTATTATTTGTATCTGCATAGTTTTAAGTTTTTCAATTTTATACTGAAATATACTTTTCATACTAAAAAAATATGTTGCTAGAATTTAGATACATTTAATTCCATAGGAGGATCTTTTTCTCTAAGGGGCCAGATAGTAAATATTTTTGGCTCTGTAGGCCATGTGTCAGTGTTTCAGTGGCTCAGCTCTGCCATCATAGTGTAAAAGCAACCACAGACAATATGTAAATGAAGAAGTGTGGCTATGTTCCAATAAAACTTTATTTATGGGCCCTAAATTTTAAATTTCATATAATTTTTATGTGTCATGAAATATTCTAATTTTGACAACATTTTAAACATTTAATATGTAAAAAATATCCTTAGCTTACTGGCTGTCGTCTAATAGTGGTTAACATAGGCAACATTTTAATAGTGAATATGTGCAATAAAACAGTAATTTACATCTAATCTCAACCAGAAACATTGTTCTAAGTTGTAAGCGTGCTTTCCTGGTTCTTAATGTCACTGTTGCTACTCTACAGACTTTGAGCAATAGTCCAAAGCATGCAAAGTAACGTTAATAATCAATAACCCCTTACTTTAAAAGTTATCAGTGATGAAAGCTATACATTTAAAATAATGTGAGGCCCTGGGATAAGAACTAGGAGCTGTGTCATTAGGGGCACCATGAATCTGGATCTTAGCACTACACTTACTAGCTGTGTCATCTTGAACAAGTTACTTAACTTCTCTGAGCTTCAATTCCTTTTTATAAAAGGATGATAATAATACTTATTGGCAAGGTCCTTTTGTCTTAGATAATGTATATAAATTGCGTAGCAATAAACATCAGTATGTCTTCCTTTCTTTAATTACTAATGCAATAACAACTAGGCAATAGCTTTTAAGGAAAATGAAAATATGCATTGTGTGAAAAGGCCCTCCATTTGGTCACGTAACAAATTTATTTGCATTTAAAAATGTGTAAACTGGTCTAAAGGAAGCAAACTTCTGGTAACAAAATGTTAGGTAAACTTTGATCGTTCATAATATAGTCCAGGTGTCATATTATGTGAAACTTTTAATGAACTTCAATGAGTTTTTATGGTGGGTGTTTGTGACATCGACTAAGCATTTCTTGCAAGATCTCTTCTATTAAGAATAAACTATTTTATTTTCAATTCTTGCTTTTTATTGTTAGAATTGTATCACTTGCAAAATTATAATAAGATAAAAGGCAAAAGAACTAATTTAGTAGCTTTTTAAGATCATTCCAATAAGTTGAGATGTTCAAAAAAATTTTTTTTTTCTTTTTGAGACAGAGTCTCACTTTGTCCACCAGGCTGGAGTGCAGTACACAATCTTGGGTCACTGCAACTTCCACCTCCCGGGTACAAGTGATTCTCCTGCCTCAGCCTCCTGAGTAGCTGGGACTACAGATAAACGCCACCAAACCAGCCTGGCTAATTTTTGTACTTTTAGTAGAGACGGGGTTTCACCATGTTGGCTAGGCTGGTCTTGAACTCCTGACACCAGGTTATTTGCCCACCTAGGCCTGCCAAAGTGTTGGGATTACAGGCACCTGCACCCAGCCTAATTTTTTTTTAATTGATATAAGTTGATAGGATCACCTTGAGATGTTATTGTACTACATTGGTGCTCTTTAAGTATGTTCCAGTATTCTTGAAAGTAATTTCAAGTGTTTTACTGCCTTAATCCTAGTTATATAATTACATCTGCAGATTTATATGGAACATAGATTTTTCCTTTGAAATTTTTAGCACTTGTAAAATTATTAAAATGTAAAATATAAAAATAGCATAAATACAAGCATACCTTAGCAAATAAATCAAGCTCAGGCCTTGCAGGCTGAATGCTCTCTGTTGTAGCTATTTAGCTCTGCTATTGTTGCACAAAAGCAGCTGTATACAATCCTAAACAAATTAATGTGATTGAGTTTAAATAATTTGATTTATGAACACTGAAATTTGAATTTCATTAAAATGTTTATGTCACAAAATATTCTCCTTTTGATATTTTTCAGCCATTTAAAAAGGTAAAAACCATTCTTAGCTTAGGACCATACAGAAACAGGCCATGGGTCAGATTTGGCATGACTCCTGATATAGATCTGCATGTGTATATATGAAGTATGTTGTACGTATAAGAATGCATGCCAGTCATATGAACATTTACTTCCAGATGTAGGTAATTCCAGATTCTAATTCGCTTAATAGTGTCAGGATTCATGATGAACTACACTTTATATGCAAAAATACTTAGATCTATTAAGAGGGCTAGGGCAGGATCTAAAAGAGTAAATTGTCACTTTCTCACTTAATTAAAATAGATCAAATTCCTATTATATGCCAAGTTCTATGCTAGGAAATGGGAACCCAGTGACCTAAAGAACACGATACCAGCTGTCCAGGAACCAAAAGCCTAGCAGAGGGAAGCAGACATGAAAATAATGAATGCCATAATGTGTTCAAAGTGGATGAACAGCGGAGGGAGGGAATATTTGATTCTACATGGAGATTAAGAAACAACTTCAAAGAAAAGGTTTGGTGGAATAGAAATCAGACATTCTGATCAGCTTTATTGTTTTTTCTATATTTGAAATCAATATATTATAGAAACGAATCTTCTAGAATTTTTAATATAGAGAGGACTGACTCATATATAATGACTTAGTTTCTGAATGTTATGTATTTGTGCAGTAGAGCTACCTACTGCTGTGAGTCTGCTCTTTGTAGATTTTTTTAAAGAATAAAAGTCATAAATGGCTACATCAAATTATTTCACAAAATTAAATACTTTATCGGTAGTTAGGAATGAAAGACACTTCGTACTCGTAGGTTTTTGAATGAATATATTGATTCAAACAAGCATAAATCACAGGCTATACTGATTATTAAAACCAGTAGGCAATACTTTTACTGCTTCCCTGCAGTGTTATAAATTGTAATTTTCCTGATCTAACTCTTTCTGAAATTCTTTGTAGAAGCTAAGCTGTCAAAAGCCTCTATGTATATGATTTTTGTGGTTCAGAAAGAAGTGTATGTGAGATTACATATACACTTTTTTATGTAATTTTTTTAATGGCACCTTAATCTGGTGTACACACGCCTTATTCTATGTTTAAACTACATAGATTTCTGAAGATGAAATGTAAGAGTAAATTATGTGGGTCACCTTCAAGGATGAAGCCTGAATTACAACAAATGAATATGAACTTTGAGTTATGATAATAAAACAGACTTTCTCTAAAAGTAATTAATAGACATTAACGTTGTACTGAAATTCTAAAGACAATTTAAGGGGACAAGATTAAGTTTGCTTTAAAAATAAGTAGGGATGAAGGTTGGGATGTGAAGAGAGGAAATCTGTGATTTAGTAGCCATTGCTTGTACCTGACAACAATCATGTATGACCTTGATTTAGTCTGTAGGTAGGAATTATTTTTAAAGCTAAAAAAAATGGAAAATCCAATCATGTATGTTAATTTATTTTTTCTATTTGGCTCTGTAAAAAACATCCAAGTTGCAAGTAGCTAACTAGTGGGGAGGGGACCTGTCAGTAAAAGTATTTCTTAACAGTTCTGTACAAAGTGCTATATAAACTAATTTTATGCCACTTTTTGCAAAATGAACTCTGACTCACTTACTTTGAAGACAAAGAATAATAATCCCACAAAATACTGCAACCTAGGACGTTAAAATATCATTATTTCTATTGAAATCAAAACATTTGGTGTGTAAGCTTGCATTTGGTTGAGAAATATGGTGCTTTTCTTCTATAGAAGGATTGTGCTTCCATTCTATTGCGTGTAATGATTTTGGATGGTGTCCTGAAAATAAATTAAAAGCTCTGTTTAAACTTCATGCTAATTTAAGGAAAACAAAATACAGCTTAAAATACATTTGAACAGTCAAAGAATAGACACTGATCATTATTTGGAATAAGGATTTTTACAAGTTAATAGTAGTAAGACTAGATTTGTCTTATTAATGAACATTTTTCTGATAGTGCCTTGCATATATTTAATGAAAAAGTAAGTTTCCTGCCACTAGAAAACTTTATAGTAGATGTAATTTAAAGTGTAGAAACAAAAACAAGATAAGAGTAAACAGAATGCATTTCAAATATATTTGTAGCTTCAGTGAAGATGACTTCGGTTTTCTAAGCTTTATCTATAATTATTATATAATGTTTATGTAGTTATATAAACATCAAGATAATACTTATTTGTATTCTAACATATTTTAATAAATCAGCTAATAATATAGTGTCTGTTCACTTCTCTATTTGAGCTTTCTACTGCTGAAAAAAAAAGTTGTTTCTTATCTGATATTACTGATTATTAAAAAAATCAAACCGAGATAACTTTAGGACTTACTTAGAGTTCAAGAGGTGCTTGCTGGTGCTCGCTTAATGTGAATGCAGTTTATTTTATGTAACAATAAATGTTTCATTCCCACTTTTCCCTCTTGTTCTACCCTGACTTGCGTGGGAAAAGAAAAAAAAAAAAAAAAACAATTTTACATCAACATGTAACCACTTTCCCCCAAACGCTAGCATCCATTTTGTTGAATTATTACACTAAATTCAGGTGTCTCAGTAAACCTAACACATCTTGTTTTTTACTCCTCTCTTCATATACTTTCCAGAGGATGCCTTTTCTCAGTAAAATGAACCTCCTTTGTCTAACTTTGACTAAAGGCAAACCTTTACAATTTTAATGAGAGATATTTCCAGTATAATGAATTAGACCAAAAACTCTCCCTCTCCCTCCTTTTGTTTCTCCTTTTGACCTCCCAAAACTTTCTAATTAAGGAGATTATAATCAAAACCAATACCAAGTTTTTGAAATCAGGTCTCAAAGTTGAAATTCAAAGTAACAAAACTAAGCTACATGTCTGGCTTTTAGACCAGTTTTGTTAGACACAGCTCACATTCTGCCACCTCCATTCATGAGTAAAATCTGTATTACTATTAGTATAATAAAGCTACTTTTGCAAATATTGTTCATAGATACAGATATGCACAAATTGAAATTTAGCTGCTAGTAGAAGTCAGAAGCTCCGATAAACTGTTTCTTCGTTTTGCTGAAGGCTTTGGGATACGACTTTTTGTCATAAATGTTAGATGTCAAATGTAAATATTACATGGCATAGAGCAGCCTTTCTACCCATCTGGATTAAACTCTGCATTATCTTCATACAGACAAAGGAATTATTGATTAGCTAGTGCTGCCTAAGAGGCAGTATGGTTTAGAGTTTGGATTCTGAACACGCACCACTTGGTTTCAAATTCTAGCTCTTACTAGCTCTGTGACTGGGGAAGTGATTTAATTTTTTGTGCCTCCATTTCCTTATCTGAAAAATGAAGATAATGATATTATCTACTGACTGTTGAGAGGAGTAAATAAGTTAATAGGTGTAAAGGACAGGAACAATACCTGGAATGTATCATGTACCTTTTAAGGGTGTCCTGTTACTGGCTATTACTGTTACCTAATTTCAAATTTCCTACTTCTTGTTGTCTTTTAAAATACCCCACAAGGAAGAAATGGCAGACATGCCTTAGTATCCTATTCCAGTATTTTGCAGTTTTCATTTTTAATGAAGTCTTTATAATTATTCTATCTAGGAAATAACTGCATTCTCATCATGCTCTGGGCCTTTGAGAAGAGGCACTGTCATGAACATAAGCCATTTTCATACTTGAAAGCAGCCTAATATAGCGGAAAGATCATGCATATATTAGAGTTAAAAACCTGAGTTCAAATCTTAGCTCTACCATCTCCTGCACTGGGCCTTATGCAGGCTCTCAGCCCCTCGAACTTCAGTTTCCTTGTCTATAAAATGAGTATAGTGATTTGTATTAATTAGGGTTATTTTAGGGATTAGCTAAATGTACATCATCTAGCACCTAATAAGCTCTCGATAAGTAATAGTTTTATAGCAGTAAGTACAAAGGTGATAAAATAATTTTATAGTGATAGGTTTAGTTATTGATCAGGTATAATCATACTAGGGACTACTGTGCAAATTACTACTGAAAAGTAGTAACCACCAATTTATTATTTATCATTATATAAATAATTAGACTACTCTTCAGATCATTGTTGCTACTGAAGGATAAGCCGACCTTAAGTTTCCTTTTTTGCTAGGAAAAGTAATCCAAGTTTCTTTACTTTCTGTTTCCAACCTTTACATTTCTTCTCTGAACCTTCCAACTGATCATGTCATTAATAAATCATGGATACTAAATTAATACAGAGCTCACTGAGGGTCTGGTCAATTCCATTCATGTTGAAAAGAACATAATCATTACAGCATGGTTTTCTATCAGCTAATCGCTTTTGTAACAGAATAACGTTACTGACTTGTGTGGTTATGAGTACCCTATGACCCCTCTGTTCTTTTTTTGTCATTTGACTAGTCTTCAGCTTTCTTCTTTATAATTTTCTGCTTGCTTCTAAGTTCTTTAACTGTATCATTCCTTTCATTTATGACCAGGAAACACAAGAGGTGTTAAGTAGAAAATAACGTAGTTTATTTCCTTGCTGCTATGATATATGTAGTAAAGCTTTGCCAACAAAGGGAAAATATGGTGTGACCAAATGGGTAAAACTTTATTATCACTGCCCCCCACCCTTGTTGCTTCTAATAATAATAATAATGTGTACGAGGCCACTTTGTTATCAAGAAAAGATTTTGCCAAAATACACCATTGCCACATAGAAATAACATATTAAAAGAGTTTTCAAAAGATGGACTTGCTGCTGTGGAAGACATCTCTTTTTCTATGCTGATCTCTATAACATATTAAAAATTGTTAAACCATTAAAATAAAAAGCCCAACACCTTATAACTCTTGAGTCTTTTTTAGAGCTTCATTGAGTGCTTCATTTTTCATTCATCATGTGAATGAGCCCATGGTTTCTATACTTTCATATGTCTGCATTATATTATTATGCAAACTTAAAAAATCTTCCTGGGAAAAATAAAATATAAGTCAGTAAATTTCTTTGGTATAATTTTGATTAAATGTACTGAAGACTGATGATGATTCTTTTTTTCCTATTGACTATATTAGAGTGTGTTTAGGTGAATTAAGAATATAAATATGTGTACTGCTGTTTCACTTTTTAAGGTTGACTGCCTTTAAAAGCCCGATTAGAGAGAACTAGCTTGGCCAGAGGATTTTAGATTAAATCCTCTAAATGCATGCTCACTTAGAAGCTAAATTAACAAAACTCTCTTCATCAACTTCTCAAGTTTTCTCTTGCATGCCCATGGTAGCTAGAAAAATCACTAGTAGAACGGACAGCGTCTTTGACATAAATTTAGAAGTAAAACTCACATGTACTTATTCTTCTACGTAGTGTCTCTTCTTGCAGTCAAAACAGAGCCCTTGAACAGCAGTGAAACCACAACCACGACTGGAGATGGAGCGCTTGACACTTTTACTGGGTCAGGTAAAGCCTTTAGCTCGTGTGTCCTTACGTACACATGGGGGTGCATCCACATCTTCCTCCTTGGGAATAAACAGCATAAGCATCCAAGCTCTTAGAGCTTTGATCTTTATAAAGTTAGCCACAAATTCTTACTTTCCATGATGAATTGTCATAGCATATACATTTTTATAAATTATATTTAGAATAATTTTGCTTGATATTTTAGTTGACAGCAAAAGTCCCATGACTTTCTTATTACAGATAAGTAAACCTAACTTCCTTCAAAATTATTTTATACATTGTTTAAGTAATTTAATAATTAAGTTGTAGCAGCTGACCCTGCCTCTTCACTGTACCCATTTGAATTGCATAAAAACTGCCTTCTGTTTAACATTCGAGATGTACAACTATCCATTTGATTCCTTCTAAATAACCTTGTTTCCTCTCTGGGTTTAAAAAACTCCTCCTGTGTAAGCAGCTGAGTGACAAGTATTAAAGGTTAATGGGCTGCGGGAGAGAACATGCTGGTTGCATTAGAGCCCAGCCTCTGAGAGCGCTGGTATGCTTCAAAGAGAACAATAGCATGTCTTTAAACATCAATCCCTTCAAAACATAAATACCTGATAACTCCCAGCTGGGCACAAAGGACATGAATTAAGTTGACTTAATTAAAGATTTTTTTTTAAGCTACACTATCTATTTGGCTTATTATCTGGTAAAAGGACTTTTCTAACCTGAGTAGGAGTAGGTGCATCAGAAAGAACATTAAACCTAGGAAAGTATTTGTGGTAATTGAATCTCAGTTCTGTTATTCTACTTTAATACGTTTTACATTTATCCATATTCTCATGTTACAAGGATTTTTTGTCAGTATGTTTTATGTAGAAATAGTTGAGATATATCTTAGAGTATTATGTCATTATAGCATATATTTGATTTTTACAGATGATCTAATTTTACTGCTTCATACTGATTAGAAGCAGTTGCCATATCTACATAAATATTAGTACACCAAGAAAGAAAGAATAGTACATAAACTTGGCATAGAGACTCATATGTACTAATCCACATCTTTTCTAGCAGTTTACCTGCCTCTCAGGAAATAAATAGGTATCAGTTCAGCATTCTGTATTGCACACTTACCATAGCTTTTGTAAACTTTCTGCAAAGTAAATCTATATGAACACATTTTTAAGGAAAGGAATGGAGTTATTAACTTATTGGTGACATAATTCATTAGCATACTACAAGTTAATTGAAAGCTGAATGACAAAACTATGAAGTGTTAACTCCACAAGGAATGTCAGAGCTCTCTGATCCATTTTATAGACAGGAAAAGTTAAAAGTGGTTAAGGCCATACAGTCAAGGCCTCACAGCTGGTCAGTGGTATAAATGAGTCTAGAACTATGTGCTGATGATCAGTCCCTGGATCCTTTCTGTAGCACCCCGTCAGAAAAGAGATGGAAAAAAAATAGGTATAAACAATCATTCTGTCTGAAATTCACTCATATTATCTTTGTAGATATTTTCCCAATTTTTTAAAGAGTTACCTAGGGACGTGCTGTCCAATAAGGTAGACACTAGTTATATGTGGCTATTAAAATTTGATAAAATTAAAAATTTTATTTTGTGTTTTCATTTTCAGAGCAATAATGCAGGAAGTATATTTTCAAGAATATTGTCAATCAATTTTGAAAATCATCAAGTATGACTAGAAGCGTTATGTTCTCAATATTTTCAGCAACCAAAATTTAACTGAATTTTCAAGTTTAAACACATTTCAAGTATTTAACAGCTGCATGTGGTTAGCAGCTACCATATTGGACAACTCAGATACAGAACATTTCCAACACCATGGAAAGTTTTATTCCACAGCAGTGATCCAGGGCAGGGAGTATCAACATCAGCACTGTTAAAGACTTGGGCTAATTATTGTGGGAGAGCTGTCCTCTGCACTGCGAGATATTTGGCAACATCCGTGCATCTATCCCAAAATGCCAGCAACACTTCCCCAGATGCTTCTGTACTAAAGAAACAACCAAAGATGTCTTACTAAAGACAACCAAAAATGTATCCAGTCTGTTTAATTGTCCCTGGCAGGCAAAATTCTCACCCCCATCCCATTGAGAGTCACCATTCTAAGATAGCACAATAATAAGAGTAAAACCTTGAAATTGCTTTGACACCATCGGAGAAACTGACAATAGACGGTAAACATTTATTTTAATTAATTTTCAGGGCATTTTGAAATCAGGTAGTTTTGCTTACTGCTGCATGCAGAAATGATGGAATGTAATGAGTTGAGTGATTTGGGTAGTGTTTATGATTAATCAAATGACTGTGGGGAATAAAACAAAGGTTTTTACAAGGTATTTCAGAAATCATTCTGGAAATGAGGCTGCCCTTTGTGGGAGCAGTCTTTACTTTATCTGCATAATTTCCACTGACTTTAATCCAATTTTGTTGTTCTTTTCAGTTATCTGCAAATTTCTGAATTAGAACAAAATGTATACATTTTAGTAAAGAAGCATAAACTTTCCTACATGAACATCGTAGTTTTCTGAGCCAAAGGTTTTGTGTTCTATTTAGAAAATGAACATATAGATGTTAATAGAAATTTGTAAAGGTTAGTTGAGCCTTTATAGTGTTGTGGGTACATTATTCTAATGATGTTTAGATTTATCATTAGAGAGAGGAAACATCTTATATATTCAGAATTGAGTTAATGTATATGGATTTTTTTCTGAAATGTGTAATTTTGCTCTGTCTTATTAAAAGCTACTGCAATGAATATTTATCTTCATTATTCAGTGTCTCTTTGAAAAAGTCTTCTATTTCACAATATTGATAATAACTGATTAATATAGCCCAAGTCTTGATATACCAAAGAGAAATTCTATAAAGAAGAGACGAAAGAATCTATAATTAAGCCTCATTTAGCTATGTTTTTGTTAAATAGAGTATTTGCTATTGTGAATTGATAAATTAGGATGAATATCATTGTAATAACACTATTATTATGTAATCTATATTTAATGCCCATTGTGTAGTAGAACAAAGGGTCTGTTTTCAGGGTTAAGTTGATTTGAAAATTTAAAACATTCTTTAAGTTTTAATAAGTAGGTAGAAAATTATTAGTTTATTGGCCAATTTATTTTCAACTATACATAGCAAATTCAGTTAAGTTTTGGTTGCTGAAAATGTTAAGAACTAACACCTTTAGTCAAATTTGATGATTTTCAAAATTGACTGATAATATTTTTGAAAATATACTTACCGCATTATTGCTATGAAAATGAAAATATTCTTTCTGTATTCAGAGCTTACAGGCAAAATAGCATTTTAAACACATTAAATTCTGCATGTTTGTGAAGTAGTAGATCACAAGGGTATGATCTATATAGAAATATATCATGTTTCATAAAATAGTTAACAACCTAAATCTATTTGTCACTTTTACAATTCTGAAAGTTTAGCTTCAGAATTATTATGAACAACTCAGAAAGGACATAGTACTTTGAAGTATAACTATGATTGATTGGACTAAACTAATTCCAGCACTGCATTGTGTATGACTTTAATCTTTTTGAAAAGTGAATGAACAGCAGATGGCCTAATAAAGACACTCTGTGTGCTTGCTCAGTGTGGATTGGCTCTGAGGATACTGGCTCACACTTTAGAGTCCATATATTTGCAAAACATCTGTCTTAGTCAAGGCAGATAGTTAAAGGAAAGAGAAACTTCCAAGCTTTTGGATATATTCCAGTTCGGAGCCCCATGTTTGGATGAACTGTTAATAGGTCCTGACTTTCACCTTTAAGTTCTTCTCAGAAAATTATTATCTCTGATAGTTCAAAGTATATTTGTAAATATAATTGCTACTGCATTTTGTGATTATGTTTTAAAGAAACTACCTGTGCTTTCTCTAGTTATTACAGGAATATTATAGATTGCCTTTTTAATTTTTCGTCTGATGGGTAAAATGAAAGGAAATAGAATTACAGTAGTATTTTACCATTAGAAAATGAAGTTTGGAACGTCACACTTTTCTTATTTTGTATATATTTCAATTAGAATAAATATGGAGGAAGAGCAATGCATATTTGCCATCACATTTGGCATTTTAAAATGCAAAGTTTGCAAATTTTCAAAATTTACTTTTAAATTATGAAAGCTTAATTACCCTATAATCAAATATATTTATTCATAGTCTATTAATATGTAAGCTCATGCTAATAATTTGAGAAAATGGAAGAGTGTTAAAGGGAATGATTTGTAAGACAAATGTTTGTTTCACGTTTTTAACTAAACTCAAATCAGTTTAATTAAGAGAAAGTGTTTAGGCAGCTGTTTCTTTTTAGAAAATGAATTTTTGGAAACATGTTTAACAGGGTAATTTCTTCAAATTGGTTGTGTACATTCTAGTGAAATATATTTATGAAGCAACCTTTGGTGCACTGGTATTTTTGTGTCTTACAGTAATTACAAGTAGTGGCTACAGTCCCAGATCAGCACATCAGTATTCCCCACAGCTGTATCCTTCCAAGTAAGTGGTCAGTAGATTCTTTCTGTTTTGTTAGAAAAATTTTCCGGCATCATCTTAATTAATCTGTATTCACACAATATGACAACTTTAAATTGGCAAACATTTATGTCTATACATGTATTATAGATAGTTGGATAGATACTTGGATAGATTAAGTATATAGATAAATATCCTGTACGCATTTGAAATAAGAGATGTCCACATTTATCTTGATAATTCCCTCGGATATTTATATATACCTTGAGAGAAATATCAATCTCAAATTAGAATACACTGCTTTTTTGATGCAAATTAAAAAATGCTGGCTGGCTAAAAAACCTAAAGAGATTACATTTTATCTATGTCAACACTTCGTAGTTAATTCCATTATTGAAATTCTTTTATTGGATTTCCAGTTCTAATAAACATATTTTTGGAGAATATGCTTTATTGTTTTTATAGCTAATGTAGTTACTTTATTGAGGTCAGTGGTAGATATTTCTTAAGTTTAACTATGTTGGATGTATATCTGAATTGGCTTGGAATCAGCCAGACGTGCCAAGATTTTATATTGCTGATACATATACATTTAAATGTAGTATGTTATTTTCTTGAGCATCTAGAGTGTCTGCCTTTATATATGTATTGACTGGAGGTTGGATATCCTATGAGGACCATGATATAAAATGTGACATAATGAAAGGAATGACATTCCTTTTTTTTTTTTTTTTTTTTAAGAAAGCCTCCAACCTTTCTTTTTTCTTTTTAAAAATTTCCAGTTCTTGGGAGTGAATTCTTAGTAGGGCTTCTAAATAGAATTTCATAGTCTTTGCATAACAGTAAGTCACTCATGGTGAGTGTGAATTTGCTCATGAGCATATTAATTAGTGTGTGCTCCATTTTCCTCATCTACATGTTAACTGGAGTGCTATTTCAGATATGAGTAAGAATTGTAGACCTGGAAGAGACACTAGGTATGATATCTAAATCGAATTTCTCCTTTTACAGGTGAGGCATAGACTTAGGGAGTTTAAATTATTTGTCTAAGGTCACTAGACTGGTTTGTAGCAGAGCCTGAGCTCCGGACTTTCAGACTGTTGCTTTTTCATATATTGTTAAAATTATATTGCAGATAAAGAGGATTACTTCCTGAATATTATAGGGTTTCACTGAATCTAGGCTGTCTGAATTAATACACAGTCTTTGTTGCCACAGTAATGCTATTTTTCTGATATTTAGGCCCTATCCACACATTCTTTCTACACCAGCAGCTCAAACAATGTCTGCCTATGCAGGCCAGACTCAGTATTCGGGGATGCAGCAGCCAGCCGTCTACACAGCCTACTCACAGACAGGACAGCCCTACAGCCTTCCCACTTACGGTATTTCACATCTTCTATCTTCTCCTCTGGTTATGGGCAGGCAATCCTGCTGGCTGGTAGCTTTGTATTCTGTTGTAGGTTACAACTTAGAAGGAAGATCATCTAACTAATTAAATGGTTTGCACATTCATTTTTCTAAACAGATTTGGGTGTGATGTTACCAGCCATCAAGACAGAGAGTGGACTTTCCCAGACCCAGTCTCCATTACAGAGTGGCTGCCTCAGTTACAGCCCAGGGTTTTCTACCCCACAGCCAGGCCAGACACCTTATTCTTACCAAATGCCAGGTAAGTAGCTACACATGAGACATATTATGGGAGAACTCATTCTTTGAGTGAGACTCCTTGGCTTCGGGCTAGGAATATCCGATCATGAAGATAGTTTTAAGCTTTATCACAGCTCAGACAATTTTTAAAGAAAGATGAATAACTAGACAGAAACATAATGAAATGGTTTAGTATACATCAGGAAACATGACCCAAACCAAACTTAAATACTTAAGTTTAAGCTGCATAACATCAGAAGGAAACCAAGTCCAAGCAAAGCAACCTCCAAGCCAGACACCAGGTCAGCCATGCATTTGGTGACTACCTAAGCATTAAAAGATCCGTAGCACAAACTAGTATTTTTTTTTTCAGTATTTCTGAAGTATGTAATTCTGCTTTGATTATACTTAAATTTGAATTAGTTCTTTTCTAAATTCCATTTATTGTTGACCAATTGAGGATTTTTTGTTCATTCCTAAAATTTCTCTCTTGTATTAATACTATGTTGCAGCCGGGTGCAGTGGCTCACGCTTGTAATCCCAGTACTTTGCAGGGCTGAGGCGGGTGGATCACCTGAGGTTGGGAGTTCAAGACCAGCCGGAACGACATGGAGAAACCCTGTCTCTACTAAAAATACAAAAATTAGCCAGGTGTGGTGGCGCATGCCTGTAATCCCAGCTGCTTGGGAGATTGAGGCAGGAGAATCACTTCAACCTGGGAGGCGGAGGTTGCCATAAGCCGAGATTGTGCCATTGTACTCCAGCCTGGTGACAGAGTGAGACTCTGTCTCAAAAA